AGTAAGAGGAAAAAAGAAACAGAGTCTGCTTTAGGGTCAAAGATAAAATGGTGCCTTTGTGTGTGTGTGAAGGCATCCATGTGTGCAAACATCTGGGAATATGGGAATGAGAAGGGAATATCCTCAAAAGGATATTCAAGATACGCAATCAGGTCTTGTGGTGGCAGCGAGGGACGGGGAGGGAGGGAGGGGAGGGAGAGAGAGAGAGAGAGAGAGAGAGAGAGAGAGAGAGAAATCTTTTGTTGCTTCTTTATTTCAGTTAAGGAAGCCTGCTCTGATTACTGGCTGTGAATATATGCATGTCTCAATTTTCAAACTCAGTTATATTATTTTGAGCCTTACAAGTACAGAATCCTAGCGATAAAATCAAGATGAGAAGGGAAGACAGTCCTAATGTGGAGGGTACCTGGATATTCATATAAGAGGAAGCTAGAAAGCCCTCCAGGAAAAAAATCCCTTTGTATACTTCTCATCTGTGCAGGGGTGCATTGTACAGCCCTTAACCAGGGAATTATCTCAATGTGCCTTCCTTCAGTTTAGCCTGAGCATTAATTGCCTACTGATTGCAAGTAGCAGGGAATTAGGGGATAAAGACTGGGGAGGCACAAATGAGTGGTGATGTGAGCCTGATTTCTGTTCCAGCTAATATGCTACTTGCCTCCATTCAGTCTAATGATTTTGTTTTGCTTTATCTTTATATCCAGCATGAATCCTGTCCTTTCCATCTCTCTGCCCCTAGTCTTTGCCTTGACTTTGGGGCAAAGTCTGTCTCTTTGTATCCCTGTTGACTATGTCATCCATGTGGAGAAGAGAGAATGTGCCTACTGCCTAGCTATCAACACCACCATCTGTGAAGGATTCTGCTTGACCTGGGTACAGTCTTGTAAGATACTACTGAGTCTCTTTTTACAGTCCTTCTTGAGCATATGGCTGAGCATGGATATTTGGGGCTTTGGGGTGGTTGCGGCTATCGTACACAAAGCTCTGACCCAAAGTGGATGGGGTCATGTTCTGCACATTAGAGATTCAGAATTGTCTCCTTCCTATTCCCTTTATTTAGGCTTGTACCAGCATTTTTATGGATTTCCACCTGCAAATGGTGGGAAACTGAAAATCAGATGTGAGGGGAGGGGTGCTGGGAGCCTCAAAAAAAGGACACAGGGGCTGCGGTTGCTCACTTTCCTTTAAAGCGAGTATGAAAAAGTGCATCCAGGTGGCTGCAAGTGACCTACTGGTATGTGTTTTATGCCCCCCCTCCAAATCTATGAATAGTGGACCCAAAACTTTGATTTGTTCTGCATTTTTTTTAATTTGGGGAAAAGGTGAAGTACTAAATTGGGTGTCTTAAGACTTAACATCCATTTTTAGAATGGAGTCCTTGACATGTCACACAAAGCCTGGTGCCCTCCAGCCACTGACAGTTTTCCACTCCTGCTTTAAGAGAATAAATAGTGGGAAGAGATTTGCAAGAATAACTTGTAATAAGTCGTCTTCTCTAATAAGAGAAGATAACTTGAAATTTCTTTAAATAGGACATCCCCCTGCAAGGATGATAGTTACTTATTTTATATTTTATCATGTTGTGCCTAAAGAAGTAGTCAATATGCAGAATAATACCAGCACTTCCATCCTCCCAGATGTTATTTTTAGAAAACTATGTTCCTTCCATAAAATATATTTATTTATTTATTAAACAAATTGATATGGCTGCCCAACTCACACATGATAACTCTGGACAGCTTACAGAATTATTGTTGACTTTCTCCAACACTTCCAAAAATCCTTCCTTCCTTCCTCTGGGGGACAGACTTTATCAGAAATCATTCCTTCTGTAATTAATTAGGACATTAGTTTGCAAATTGTAGAAGAACTAGAACAGTTTCTCTCAATAAAAATCCCCAAATATATGTTTGAGGAACTGACTATTGTATCTATGATTGTTACTGTCTGTCCAATGAGATCCAGCACAGTGGATGCACGTTGGGTCTGTTTGATAAAACAGTGTAATCTATCTGGAAGCATATCTTCTCTGTTGCAGCACCTGCCCTCTGGAACAGCATCCCCCCTGCCCCCAGAAATCTGTATGGCTCCCTGCTTGATGATGTTCAGAAAGTCACTGAAAACTTGGCTGTTCTCCCAGGCCATAGGGTAGAGTAGTTGTTGAGCCCCTGTAGGTTATTTTATTGTTTATAGAATTCGCTTTCTGAACCCCCATGATCTGCTTCTTCGTCTTTAATTGTTCTTACTTTTTTTTAAACTGTAGCCCACTACAAGTAATTAAATAATAATAAACAAATAATGTCATTGATGGGTCTTTAGTAGAATAGCTTGAATTTAGATTTTTGGGATAAGTTACAGTAATTAAAAAGCTTGACATTTGTTCATACATTTCCTTTTACAGCCTACTTGTTGTACTCAAAGTCACATTGCTCTGATAGGTAGCTCTCCAGGGTTTCAGTGGTGGATCTTCCTAAGCTTTCTCCAAAGATGAACTTGGGACTTTCTGCATACACAGCAGGTACTCTTGCTACCTCTGAGCAACTGCTCTTCAAGGGAAGTGCCCATTCTAAGCACACTCTTTTCTGCAATGCAAATAGATCAAACAGTTCATAATATTTTTATACAGGGTCAGTTTAAACTGTTTTCTTTTACAGCAAGATTGCTGCTGCTTAACTTTAGTTTGAAAAGCTCCCATAATGATGAAAGGGTGCTTCTTATTTCAGTTGCATAGTGGTGAGGAGGAGCATAATGGAGAGCAGAACACAACTTTATCAGGTTAACTTTAAACAAAGTCTGTTAGGGAGATGGAATAACCATTGGTATTTTATTACAGGACAGTAATGTTAAGAAGCTACTTCCCCAGAGGCTGAGTGCCCTGTCCCAGGATGTGTGTACATACAAGGACCTGGTGTACAGGACCGTGATGATCCCTGGCTGTCAACACCATGCTGTCTCTTACTATTCCTATCCTGTGGCAGTGAGTTGCAAGTGTGGGAAATGCAACACTGATTACAGTGACTGTGTGCAGGAGGCAAGTGGCACTGGTTATTGTGCAATGCTCTAGAAGTCACGTAGCCCTTGAGGTCCTGGTTCTCTGTATCTTTCATGCATGTCTCTTGACACATTGAAGAGCAGCAGCAGCAGCAGCAGCAGCAGCAGCAGCAGCAGCAGCAGCAGCAGCAGCTAAAATAAACCAGATGGGTAGCATATCCATGAATTTGATCTGCCAAATTATTCTAAGACAGAACAATGAAATATAATAGGCTGCTCATTTTTGTGGTTTTCATTTTTCTTAAGTTTCACCGGCGAAAAAGTTTCAAATGCAAGCATAGTCATTGGCTTTTGGAGCAAATATTTTACAAACAAGAGGGTTTCAAGGATTTTCTTAAAACTTTCTTTTTCAAAAGAAAGAGGCTGTCAGCCCATTCCATATTTACATTGCTAGTTGATTGCTAAGTTGTTGCACTGCTCTACTTCCAAATTGATGGATGTAATTGCACTGATAACTGGACTCATATAACATGATAAAGCTTAAATTTAGATTAACAAAACTTAAATGCTGTTCACATAATGTGTTATGCCCAAATAAACTGCATGATGGCTTAATATGATGGTTTGGTTCCCACAACTTGCTAAGACAATGGCTAGGTTTTGACCCTTATTTTAGCTTAATCTAACATGTAGTATAACCTTAGCCAGTGTGTTACACTGGAGTTTTTTTTATCATCATTATTTATTGATTGTTGTTAACCCAGTTGCCAAGGGGCCACAGATCATCAGTGCCTTTCACCTGTACACCAAGGAAAGGGAGAAGAACCTAGCACCTGTTTTTTTCCTTTTGCAAAGAGGTTGACTAGAGGGGCTCCCCACCAATCCATAAACCTCTAAAACCTCTTTGGATTCAGTAGCCTTTCTGCCTGGGACAGAGACTGTTTAAGCAGTCACCACACATATTTTGTTTTCTTTATATTCTCCACTAACAGAGAGGTAAGTTGTCTCCACTAGGAAAGCAGATAAGATGCCTCTGATTGCAGGGCCTTTGACTTAATTTCGTCCTGATTCAGAAATGGTTTTGCGGAGACATTGCCCAAATCAAAGTGTAGTATCCTTGTATTGAAGATGCAAAGACTTCTGACAGGCACACCACCCTTATAATCTGATTGTTGGAGAGTGTCATGGGAAAGAACTGATCCACTGTAATAGAACCAAAGCAGTGGAGATCATAGAAATTCCCTGAAATGATATCCCCTTCATGAGTGGCTTCTTTCAGAGGTCCCTCAAGAGTTTCTCCTTCAGTAGGTGGTTGCTACTAACCACTACTGCAGAGAACTAAGTACTGTGTTTGAGACTATTTGCACTAAATGCACCTTTAAGATAATCTGCTCCTGAAGTAGAAACAGAAACCACTGTAGCTATGCTTGTAGTAGTGCCCAAGGTTCCAAGGCTCAAGTAACAATCATTCATTTTTATATTTATATTTACATTTATATTATTTATACATACATAGATACATATATGTAACATTTCTGTGCTGCACTACTCTAACGTCTCATTAATCAAGCATTGTAATCCTGCTAAGACCGTACGAAGCTGTTTCCTGGATACCAGCTTCCTGAATTGGACTGTAGTCTTAGAGATGAGGGCTACCAGTTTCATCCACTGATAGAGTTCCAAGCCAATCTATGGTCTTTTATGGCATCACATACAACTTGCTAACCATGGAAGAAGGGGTCTTATATTTAGTCACTTCTGGCAATTTTCTCTTCATGACATCTGAGAAAGAAGTTGGGATTGGAATCCTAAACTCAGTACTAAAAATAGATGAAACACTTCTGCTGAACAGAGTTTTCTAGGCTTTATTCTCCCCAGGAGTTGATGCTTCAGGTTTCAGGCTAATCACTCTTACCACCTTTCTCATTAATGCTGGGAAAAATGCAACATTAAGTAATCTTTGGTGGCCTGAATTAGCCTCCTCAAATTCCTTGGTTCCTTATTTTTCTTCCAAGTCAGAAGCAGTTCATAGCTGAGACTGAAGATCCAGGCAAGGCTCTTTACTCCTAGCACTAGGATGCTTGTTTCACCTTCCCATTAAGCAGCACAGAAATTGAGGAAGGGAAGCAACTTTGCTCACCTCTAACATCTTGACTGTGGTTAAACTCCCTTCTACATTTAGAGGATCAATTTCTTATAAGGGCACCTATCTTTCATATGTCCTCTCCCGTGAGAACAAAATTTTGTACGATCCAAAGAAGAATCAGGATTATGAGAAAAAGTCAAAGCTCTCTACCTTGGATTCCTCAATGTTATCAATAATTTTAAGGCAGTGCAAATCTCACTTCCAGCTATAGCTCTGCCTTGTTCATCAGAACTGAACATTGTAGCTCAGACAAACCAACTCTTGATGCCCTCCAGTTTATATGTCAAAAACCTTGACTCTGATATTTATGTCATTTCTAGGGAATACTGCCATGATGCTATATGGTACCAGCTGAGAACACAGATTTATGTATTTACTGATTTAGAGAAAAACTTAAAAATCTGTATATGCTGTCACTTATCCTTCACAAAGGGACTAGAGTCTACAATTGGTGTACTTTGGGCCTCAACCTCTGTTTGTAGCAGCATGCAACTCCTAGGGAGGCCTAATAGTTCTTCCATGGTATATTGAATGGACCCACTGCTTGTGCTATTAATCTCAAGGCTCTCCTTATGGCTATTCTATTGCCCATTTGACCATAATCCTGAGTAGGATCTCTAGTGGTAAACAGACATCTGTTCTGAGTAGCAGATGGGGCTGGGGTGGGGAGGGTGATGGAGAAATGAGAAAGACTATCATTTTCTAATAAGCCTGCCAAGGCCATTCTTATCCACAAAAATCAAATTTTGCTCCCCTGTTGATGATAGCTCATTGTCTTCCCATTTCTTAATTCACTGTTCTTTTCCAAGACCAAAATACTGGTTCTCAGTCTAGTGGAGCCAAGAATAAAAATAATCCCTTTTTTCTTTACTACAAGTCAGAGCTAAGACTGAGTTTGGAGGAGCTACCTCCATGGAATAAAGAAGTCTTAGTTTTGCTTTCTGAATGGAAGAAGTGGAGTTAATCTTTTGCTACTATGTCCATCTTCAGTGACTGAGAACTTAAACATTTAAATAAAATTTTAAAATAAAGTACACTAAAATCCTTAAAGAAAACGAGTTGCCCTGACCATGAAGTGTGGCTCTTTGCAGAAAGCTCAGTGCAATTCTCAGAAGCTGCATATCCTTTCTCCAAATATTAGACAAGCTAGCCTTTCCTTACATGTGGATAAATGATTCATTCTTGCTGACATGTTCTTATTTGCTTGGCCATATTAAGGAGCTTTCTTCTTGAAAGATAGATGAAGGTACTGATGTAATCATCTGTAACCATTACTTAGAAATATATACACTATTTTCATAATGTGAAAAGTATTACTGTCTGATCTGTGGGGCACTAGCTCTTCCTTATTACAGAAAAGTAGAATATAATTGTTTAGCGAGCTACTGTGAGTTTTTCTAAAGACTGATTCTTTCAATTGAACAAGACTGTTTGGCTGCACATTTACACCAACATGTTTATATGAACATGTAAGGACATGTAAGAATCAAAGATTTAACAGAAAATGTAACAATCCCACCTTAGCTTAACTTTTCAGTAACATACATAGATAGGGAGAATATTTAGCATCAGCAGAGTCAAGACAAAACACAGATTGCTGTTGCACTGGCTTAAACATGTTTATTGTACTAGAATAAGTGCAGGGGTATAACTGTGTTTATATTGTCCATGGTGCAAGGCACACAGTGTCTTGAAACCAACATATCGTTCCTTAGACAGAATGGCACCCACACTCTTAATTGTACTTTCTCAGACAAGCTCAGTGATAATGGAAAAATATAATAATGAAAATATCATAAAACATGTGAAAAAGCCAATAAAGAAAAACTGCTTGGCAGTTTATGATATGATTAACAATATTAATAGCCAAGCAGTATCTTCAGCTCCCAGTTAAATTACATTTGGTTCTAAAGAGCACATTTTGCATTTTTTATTAATAGCTTACGGCTTTTTAATAATAAATTTAAGGAACTAACTAATCTACTTTGCCTGTAATATTTGAGTTATTCTGTATTTAACAGTTACCACAGGAACCAAATTCTTTACTGTAGGTAAAGTTAAAAACGCAAATCTATAAAAATCCATACACCTTTGTTCCCAGTTAATCTTTGGTGAGTGAGACACTAGCAGACAGTCAATAGCTGGAAAGATTGCAAGTGGGGTAGATTAACAGCATCTATGGAACCCCAACAACAACTAATTGCTTAGTTCACTTTTCAATAGTTCAAAAAAGATTTGGCCCCACAGATACTTCTTTCTTTTCCTGTTCCACTCATATATACAAAACATTTCCCTATATACTCTTTCAGCCCTCCACTTACCCCAAGCAGTTATTCGCATTCCACTCTTAGGAATTCTTGTTTCCTACACACAGACATGCCCCTATTTTACAGAGTATTCTATGACTGATGTCTTTTGTAGTGGCCTTGTCTTTTGTCATGTTTCCCAACAGAAGAAATAGTTGTCAATAGACATGAGCTACTCTTGTTTCTTGACTGGTGGCTCCTGTGGATATATTCCAGTAGGTCCAATGAATGAAAGTCTAGGGGGACAGTCTTCCATTCTGGCATAGATTTATAAGAAATTCTCCAACCCCAATGAAATAAATCCCTTGGGCTATACCAAAGAGAGGTGCAATGACAAGTGCTCTGCAGCTAGCCCCCTTTAGAAAGGCTGAGGGACCTTCCTTTATCCAAATCTTCCTGGGAAGACAAAAAAAGTAAACAAGACATAATTGGTTAAAACATTCTGCAGGCTATTACCTAAAAATATTTCATCACATGTTAAATATTCACCAACAAGATTTCTCTACATACACTTAACAAGACTTTGTATATCTTTAACTCACTGTACAAAAAGAAGTCTTACAAAAGAGTGGTATCACAACAAGAACCGGAATGATTCCAAGGAAGTTAACAGCCAATTCAAACATTCACGCTTTTGTGCAGCTAATACAGAAATCCAGTTCTGAATTGTAATATTCTACATGAATACCCTATATGGTACCACCATGTAGCCTGGACTGAATCACATAAAAGTGGCTTTTACATGTTATAGTATGCACTTGGGGCAACTGGTTACTCATAATTTTAACAAGATTTGTATCTGCAGAGATGCCAGAATAAATTAAGGTCAACTGAAAAATCAGTTCAAGTAGTCTGATGAATATGTGGAAGCCATCTGCATGTTTTCTCGAAGAGTAAATCTTCTCTGCATTTAATACACTTCATATTTCTGCTTCAGAGTCAAGAAATTGAGCTTTTTTATAGTCTATACCTTGCACAATCTGTAATTCCACTGTAGTTCTCCTCATTTCTTCCTTTGCCCATTGACTGAAGACGAGTCTTTATTACTGGAAAAAAAAGTGTTAAAGAGTTATGTTGGTAAACTAAGTAATTGAATAATGACAGTTCAAAATGTCTCTATTCTACTGAACTATTATTGTACTATGAAAGCAATAACCTTCCCTATGTAAGAAGCCCTTAACAGATAAAATATAAATTAGCTTTCACGGATCCCCAAGGAATAACCTTTTCTCAACATGCCCCATGACAAAATAGTCCAGAGACAAACACAAAGTCTCTCTCACCATCACAGGGATTCACAGATACAGCTGCCACTGAGCCAGCCATGCACCCAGCAAGAAAAGAACGAAAGAAACTTGTTCTCTCCTCCAAGGAATCTTGTCCTGCTCTATTCAGATGGGCAAACAGTGGGAAATAGATGACAGAGAATGGGACATCCCTGAAAGACAAAATTTATTCCTTTTTCAAACAATGTGGAAACCTAGTCTGAGAATGAAAAAGGTTAGGGAAACATAAAATCATTACCTCAGTAAAGTGGCTCCAAGACCCTTGTAAAGTCCTTTGATGCCATGAGTATGTAGAAGCTCAGCTGCTATTTGGGTGGCAGATATCCTCCTTGGGATAACAGCAGGTCCTACATTGTATGCTCTAGTTAAAATAGGGTTGACAGTTACAAGATTGCATCCAGAGGTGGAACAAGAAACTCGGCTCACAATCTGCTGAGATGCTGAAATGAAAGTAGAAAATGTATCAGGATTGTTGGTCTCCTGAAAAATCTAACTTGAACTTAAATCTGAATATAAGAATCCTGAGAACCCATTTAACTACTTTGTAATCATATGAATTTGAACCCTCAAATAGGGTTAGCACAATTCCTAGTTTCCCCTACAGCAGAGGAAAAAAAAAACTTGCTGAACATACTTAGACTTGCGCATCATTATGATCTCTATTTGAGCAAAATTCCAAATTACACTGGGAGCTTATGGCATAAAACATTCTCCCCTTTTCAAATCTTCCAATATACAGAAGAGAATATAGCTGGCAGAGTGAGGTCAGTGTGTGCAGCCCTACTTCCAATTACAGCAGTTGTGTGATTGTCAGG